TGACGTATGTGTGGCTTTCCTCAGCACTACTGCTCGGCGCACGGGACAAAGCCAGATGCCGCCATTTTCTCGGTGACTGGCTCCCGCTACCTCTTCGATGCCCAGTGTATGAGCTCAGCAAGTCCTGGGCCTATCCGCGGCATGATCTCGGCTTGGTGCCAGCACTGTTGATTTTCTCTTCCCTGTCCTGTGTATCTGGGCCTTGGCATCACGAGCTCCAGCGCTACATGATCTGGGGCCAGCGGCAGTAACCTTTTGGCTTGTCGACCACGGATTCGCAGTAGGCTTGTAACTTGGCGCCTTCAGGGCCCGACCCCCCAAAAAACCCTTCCAACCCTAAACCCTACACCCTACACCCTAAACCCTAAACCCTAAACCCTATACCCTATACCCTAAACCCTAAACCCTAAACCCCAAACCCTAAACCCCAAACCCCAAACCCCAAACCCCAAACCCCAAACCCCAAACCCTAAACCTCAAACCCTAAACCCTAAACCCCAAACCTCGTGGAGAAAAACACTTTCGCAAGCGCCCGAGGAAAGGCGACACCTTCGATGTCGAAGCCACCTGTGCCGAGGCGGAGGGGCCTTGAGCTCCCCTGAATTCCCTTTGGGCCTAGGGTTTTAGGGTTTAGGGTTTAGGGTTTAGGGTTTAGGGTTTAGGGTTTAGGGTATATGCTTGCTGTTTTGGCACTTTTGCCCTCAAGAGGCTGCCCGGCCCTCACGGAACCCTAACGACCAGCCTGCCTAAGCCCTGAACTCCTGAACCCAAGCCCGATAAACCCTGCAAGCACTAACTAAACCATGAACCCGAAACCCCAAACCCTAAATCCCAAACCCTAAACCCTGAACCCTGAACCCCCTAAACCCCCTGAACCCCCTAAACCCTGAGCCCTAACCCTGAACCCCAAACCCTAAACCTCTCTGAAAAGGTCTACAAAGGCAAGGCGAAGGTCGAGCAGTGCGAGGGGGACAAGAAGCCCTACAAGCGACCCGGCTAGGGTTTAGGGTTCACGGTTTAGGGTTTGGGGTTTAGGGTTTGGGGTTTAGGGGTTAGGGGTTTAGGGTTTAGGGTTCAGGGTTTGGGGTTTAGGGTTTAGGGTTTTTGTGAGTTTAGGGTTGGGGCCGTGAGGGCGACGGGGTTCCCTGCGCTTAAGCATGCCAGTTCACAACTCGCGCCGTTTCTCGAGCTGCCTTGTGCTTGGGGCTCCTGTGATCGAGTCGACTGGGCCTTGTTTCCATCGAAACCCCCTAAGCCCAACAGCCCTGCAGACCTCTTGCCAAAACTCCAACGCTCCCTAGACAGGATGAACCACTTTTGAGTTTCGGTTCGGACCCTAAACCCGAAACCCTAAACCCGAAGCCCTAAACCCTAAACCCTAAACCCTAAACCCTAAACCCTAAACCCTAAACCCTAAACCCTCGCTTCCTGAACGAGTTCAGTTGCAGGGCAGAAGCCAAGGCTCTCTGGCTGCGAAGTGGAGATGTGCATCGCCCCAACCCTCGTGGGCTACACGCTGACCCTTGGAAGAGAACTAGGGTTTAGGGTTTAGGGTTTGGGGTTTAGGGTTTAGGGTTTAGGGTTAGGGATCAGGGTGTGGGATTTAAGGTTTCGGGTTTTGGGTTTCGGGTGTGGGGCTTGGGGTTTAGGGTTTCATTCGATAGTTTCCTTAGCCATTGTGGGCCTAGCTTAGTTTGAATCCCAAGGGAGCGCTCAAAGAGATATGTTCGTTCTGCTTCTGGGGTGTATAGCGGTAAAGGTTCATGGTTTTTGATTCAAGGTTGGGCGGTTTTTGAGTTTAAAGTTAGGCTTTCGGGGTTAGGGGTTTCGCTTACGGCATGGAGAAGTTTAGGGATTTAGGGTTGGGATTTCTGGCTTAGGATTCAGGGGGCGCTTACTTCCAGAAAAGCTTCAGTGTGACGATTCAGCAGCCCGCAGCGAAAATACCTGTGGCTGAATTGCCGTCGACTTGTTCCAGCCTGAACATTCATAGCGAAATTCAGACCTTCGAAGGCTAATTGTTTGGTTTTGGGGTTTAGAGTTTAGGGTCAGACTCCAACTGTATAGGTAGTGGACGCCCAAGTTCACGTACACAGACAAATATAGGCAAGTGCATACTCAAAGGTACGGCCCTGAGCATACTCAAGTCTATATTCAGACTTGCTGGGTGTCTTCAGCCTTCAGCAACCTAAACCCTCAACCCTAAACCCCAAACCCCAAACCCTAAACCTCAACCCTAAACCCTAAACCCTAAACCCTAAACCCTAAACTTTGCCCTAAACCCTAAACCCTAAACCGAAGTATTTCTTCTTCAACCCTAAACCCAAAACCCTGGACTCGAAGTACTGCTTCAAGATATGCCCTAGGTTGCAGCCACCCAAGAATTCCCCAAGACAGGGTTAAGGGTTTAGGGTTTAGGGTTTAGGGTTTAGGGTTTAGGGTTTAGGGTTTAGGGTTAGGGTTCAGGGTTCAGGGTTCAGGGTTTAGAAGGTTTAGAAGGTTTAGAAGGTTTAGAAGGTTTAGAAGGTTTAGGGTTTATAAGGTTTAGGGTTTAGATTTCAGGGACACTGAGCAATGATGCTCTCGCAGCCTGGGCCCCTCCTTTCTGCAGGACAGAGACCAGCCTGGCAAGGAACGCCTTCCAAGTTGCAGTTGAGTGCAGCTGTTCTGCAGTTTAGGGTTTAGGGTTTGGGGTTTAGGGTTTTGGGGTTTAGGGTTTAGGGTCGGCCCGAAACCTGCTTGGTAGCCCAGCGGTACCCTATTTGTTTTTTGGGGGGGTTCAAGGTTACCTCATAAAGTAACCAACCCCAAGAAAGGCACCCTTATTTTCATATGGTTAATGTTGGACCTGGTTTAGTAGGGCCTCCTCTATAAAGTCAATTTGGCTGTGTTTTTCAGGACCACCCTGACTGTTTGGGGGTCCCTCTTTACAGGCAAATCGTCCGGGCGCCGTAAGAAAATTCCACGTGGCGCGCCTTTAAGATTAGCGGGCGTCGCTGCCCCTTTTAAACTTATCTAAACTCCTCCCTATTAAAATCATATAACCTCCCAGGAGCGTCTAAACAGGGACACATCCAGCCTCGACCGTTCAGGGGGAGAGGGGGGGGGGGGGGCCCGCACACTAAAGAGGGTTTAGGGTTTAGGGTTTAGGGTTTAGGGTTTAGGGTTTAGGGTTTAGGGTTTAGGGTTTAGGGTTTAGGGTTCAACATTACTGGGCTACCAAGCCTCTAAGCTACTATTTGCCTGAGAATCTCCCCCGAAAAAGGGAAAACATCCCCAAGTTACCCTGAAAAGGAAATAGATTGTTAATTGTTTGGGGGGGGGGGGGTTCTTAAGCAAATAGCAAACAGTAGTGAGTCCTAACTCTCAACCCCAACCCATAACGGCCCAAGACCCCATTATTTAAGGCCTTTCATCTGTTTTGGGGGTAAAAGGCCTGAACAGGTGGGGTCTTGGGCCCTTAGGGATAAGGGCAGGACTGTAGCCTCCAGATCCGAAAACCTCGAAATGGCTTGGTCAATGCCTGCCGTTTCAGAGCTGCTCTGGCTTCCCCGGGTAGGGTTTAGGGCTTAGGGTGTAGGCGGTTTAGGGTTTAGGGCTTAAGATGAAAGAACTCTGCAATGTCGGGCTGTGGTGCAGCAGATTGTTGAGGGTGTTCAACCAAGGCGCTTCTGGCTACACCGGCGAGCCTTCCGCCTCCGTCTGCCTACAGGCCTGCCAGAATATCCAGCCCAGCAGGGTATGTCTAGGGTTGAGTCTTTAGGGTTTTGGCTACAAGGATACTTGTACCTACATGAGGTCTAATTTAGACCCTAAACCCCAATAGAGTACATCCAAACCTTTTAAATACTTCCTATTTCCTGAACTTGCAGGCAGTTGTTGAGGTACCTGCAGGCTGAGGGTGCCTGGGATCCGTCAGCTTTTGAAAGGTGCATGCGATACGACGGGGTAGGGCCTTGTTAGGGTTTAGGGTCTAGGGTTTAGATTAGGGTTTAGGGTTTGGGGTTTAGGGTTTAGGGTTTAGGGTTGTGTTTACGTAACCCTATTTACTAGCCCCTTGTATGTTCTAGTGATACGTCTGTTTCAAACGAAGGTAGCCTGTTGCCTATGATATGTTGTTAGCTAACGCACTGTCTCTACCCATGTACCTTCAAATCCTCAAGCACACCCCTAGAAACCTACCCAAAACCCTAAATCCTGAACTCCAAACCCTAAACCCCAAACCCTAAACCCTAAACTTCAGAGCCCGAGTTGTGTCCAGGATGGTGGAGAGTATGTCGTGTCTGGCTGCGTGCATCTGGCTCGCAGGGTATGGGGTTTAGGGTTTAGGGTTTAGGGTTTAGGGTTTAGGGCTGGCTCGCAGGGTTTTTGGGAGGGAGTGACTTTTTTTGGGACAAGGCTCCCTCGGTGAGGTGGTCCCAGGAGCCCCTCAACGCAGTAAACCCTTAAGCTTTAGGTGTTCCCCCAGGTACTAACAGTACTGAATGGGGACTATACTGGGGTACTATAATCCCTGTTCCGGACTGTCAACCGTAAACCCTTAAGCCGACACCCCAAGGACTCCCCCCGTGAGCCTTGGAGGTCTCCGACTTCATGGTTTCGGGAGTTTAGGGAGTTCAAAAAAGCATCTCCACGCTTCGGTTTGGGGGGGATGAAGGGGGTGGGCTCGCAGGTGGTGGTATTGAAGGTTCATTGTAGGCTAGGGCCCAGAGTAGGGAGCTGTGTTTCGATGACGAAGGCTGCGCAAGAAGGCTGACATTGAGTTTCTCCAGCTGCCATGGATCCTGAATGTTAAGCTTCTCAGATCCAGGCTGAGGTAATTGTCTCTTGCAATACTTGCATTAGATTTCGGATCGTGATACGTGACGAAGTGAGAGCTTTAACAAGAGTAACACAGGTTTCCTGTGGCGCGACTTGCACCGCGATTGCTTCCTGTCTGAGCACACTCGGTTCAAAGTCACAAGAACTTTTATTGCCTTCACAGCTAGCGACGCTGCAACATGGTGATTGAGTGCGCCACTGTACTGGCATCAGTTGCAGCCTCCAGGCTGATAGAGAAACTCTTGCCCACATCAGAAAACGATGAGAAGACCGTGGATGAAATGAGGCACGCGATGGCCAAGTACTTCCAACAGCATGGATGGGAGCTCCAGAAATCTCCGTATTTCAAGCACACGCTTGTCATCCCGCAGTGCAAGGAGCAACTTTCTCAGGTACTCCTGGATCCCAGGCTTGAGGGATGTCGACTCCTGCACGACTGGCTTCGGCTCAAGTTTGAAGAGGCGTTGAACTTGCCTGTGGACGGCCATTTGATCGACCACGCCTTCATGTGTGACCATGAACTCAAGTTCTCCGAAAATGTCTTTGGCCTGATTTCTGTCAAGGTTGCCGGCATGATGGATTTCTCGGAGTTTGGCAAGGACACATGTCTACAAGTCTACGGCAGAGTCAGAGACATGGGCACGACTTACGAACGGGTCGCTGAGGAACTCCGTGACTTTGACATCACAGGCGAGTTCCTGCAGGAGGGCGACTTTGCACCAGAGGATTTGCAGAGTTTTCAGAACCTCCCCGGCTTGGCAAAGAAAAGGCTTCGCCATCACCTCGCAAGATACAAGGAGAAACCAACATCAGCCCTAGTTGTGTGCATTGTCGCATGCAGCTTGACCATGGCCTACCGTGGTGGTGTTCTTCAGGACATCAAGGAGAGCATGTTCGGTGAGGCATTGAAAGAGAAGTGCGTGGACTACTTGAAGCTGCGCCTGGCCGGTGAAAAGCCACATGAAGCCCTGATGGATGGCAATGATGGCATGAGCACAACACCAGCATTGCAGAATGATGCGTGCAATAAAGCACACCGTGAGGGCATGGACTTGCAAGAGCGCCTGAGGCAGCTGAAGCAGTGATCTTCAGCTGAGCACCGAAACAGTCGGACAAGTTATGTGTTCCACGTAATTTGGCAACCTCTGTGGGAAGAAGCATCGTCAGCTGACGGATGTTTCGTTTGTAATGTACTATCGTATGGTGTGCATGCTAGCTGTCACCTCGCTTTCTCGGAGTTGAGAGTTGCCGCAAGTCCACCAAGGCCCCGCAGGTAGCCAGAGGATCTCGCTACCAGGTATATGGCATTGCTTCCGGAAGCCAGATCTGTGGAGCGAGGAGAAAAGACTGTCGGACTTTCCCGTGAGTGCACGAAGCAGCATACATATCAACTTGACAAGCCTGCCTGCACAATCCGATGCATGTGGTTGAGGGTAACGTAGGAGCCTCAATAATTAGAATAGGGTACTGGGGGGCCCCGTATTTTAGAGTTATATTTTAATATCCCCCCAGAACCCTAGTCTAATTTTCGAGTACGGCCTCTACATGACGGGCTCATGCAGAGGTAGGGCCTTATTCCCTTTTTGTACGATTGAGGTTCCCTTGAAACTTGTAAGCCCCTGGTTAGGGGGTCTTCAAGGTCATTAGAGAGCCCTAAACCCTAAACCCTAAAGCTTATAAACCTTAGAAGCCTGATAAACCTTATAAACCCTAAACCCTAAACCCTACACCCTAAACCCTACGTTTTCAGTCTTCTGGTTTGGGATCCGGAGGTTCAGGGCCCAGCCAAAACACCCTGAACCCTAAAGCGCCCTCACCTCTACAGAGCCCTAAAACCTAAATGGCCCCTGAACCCTAAATGGCCCTCTAACCCCCAAACCCTAGATAACCCCAAAACCTTCAGTTCAGGATTTAGGGGGTTTAGGGTTTGGGGTTTAGATGGGTTTAGGGTTCAGTGTTTAGGGTTTAGGGTTTAGGGACCTCTCAAGGCAGACCACCACCACGACCTCCACCACCACGTCCACCACCACAACCACGACGTCGACGACGACGTCGCCCGAGTCGGTTTTCATTTGGGCTCCGGGTTTGCGGGTTTAGGGTTTAGGTTTTAGGGTTTAGGGATGTTTAGGGCCTAGGGTCTGGGATGTTCCCCCTTATACTAAGAGTCCTTGACGGGGATTATAGTCCATCAAGGGCTGTTAGTCTAAGTGGAAACATCCCAATGGTGCCAATGGTGAAGCCTCATCCTTGCGAATTATCTACGGGGCTTACTACACGAACGGCAGGCTAGGGACTTACAACCCATTCACGGGGCGCCTACACTTCTACTCCTCACTCGCGGTTCCCTCCCCATAAACCCCCGAAGGTTGAACGTCCGCCAAAGAACCTGCCGCATTTGCCACAACCCGTTCCCCCCGACCTCCCCTATTGGCGAATTTGGGATAATTCAGCCGAGTTAGGGTCCAGGGTAGTATAGAGGCGGGTAGTAGGGGAACCCTTGATGAACATGTGTCATCTCTTTTGGAGGCAGTTGAGGGACTTCAAAAGCCTGGCTCGGCCTGCTCTCCTTGGCAGGTTTTTGGTTGAGGAGGTGTCGGTCGTGTCTCATAGGGGACCTGCAGGAAAGCTGCAGGCTTAGGGTTTAGGGTTCAGGGCTTTTAGGGTCGAAAAGGGTATCTTGGAGGGAGTTAGAATCCTGCAAGAGTCTCAACTTTTCTCCCTGAGCCAGCGCCTTCTGCTTTCAGGTCGACGACGACAACAACCACCAGCACAACCACCACCACAAGCACCACCACAACCACCACCAGCACCACCACAATAACCAGCACCACCACCACCTCGACCACCACCAGCACCATCACGACCACCACGACCACCACTTCCACCACCACGACCACGACTTCCACCACCACGATCACCACAACATCCACGACCACCATCACATCTACGACCACCACCACCACCAGCACTTCCACCATCACATCGACCACGACCGTGACCACCACCACCATCACCACCACCTCCACGACCACCAGCACCATCACCACAACCACCACCACATCTACGAGCACCACAACATCCACGACCACGATCGCCACTCGGCAGCGCAGGTTAGCTGAACAAAACACAGCCCAAGCTCCCCGACAGGCACCCAAAAGCCAACTCTACAGTCTCAGGGCCTTGTCCCCTCTTTTCCCGCCCTCCATGGGGCAGCCCTTGGTCCTAAACGCTGGAACCCAAAACCCATTAAAAGGAAAGAAGCCAAACCTCCAAACCCGTGATCCCAGAGCCAAGCTACCCGTAGGGCTACTCAGGGGAAGGCTTCTGAGCCATTTTTCGGGTTGCGTTTGGGGTTGGTTCGAGGGTTTTCGGGCTGGGGGTTAGGGGGGGTTTTGGGGTTTACGGTTTAGGGTCTAGGGTCTAGGGTTTAGGGTTTTAGGGGTTAGGGGGGTTTTGGGTCTAGGGTCTCGGGTTTAGGGTTTTAGGGTTCAGGGTTCAGGGCTTCATGGGGTCGTTGGGTTGATGGTTTGGGGTTTGGGGTTTCGGGACTCATGGGCCTGAGGACCTCAAAGCTTGGGCATGCGACTGAGGACCTCATCTACAGGGTGGGGCCCCCTTACTATACTAACTGTAGTTAAGGGACTTATAACCTAACCTAGGGTCCTTATAACCCAATTTAGGGCCCTTATAACTCTACTTATAACTAGGGGGCCCCACCCTGTAGGGTTCAGAGAGTTCTTGGGTCTCTCTGGGGAATTTGTGCTTGTTTGGGCGGCTGAGGGTTTTGTGGGCTGCGCCCGCAAGCACCTCCGAACCCTGAACCCTAGACCCTAAACCCTCAACCCCAAGCCCTATAAACCCTTAACCCTAAACCCTCAGCCTCTAAATCCTATAAGGCCCAAATACGGCATGATTTGCTTCGACGGTGTGGGGGCTCGAGCCCTGTGCTCCTAGTAACTTCACCTCCCTGAGGGGCTCACCCTCTGCTTTCTCATCTCCGAGTCCTGAGTAGAACAAAACGACTGCCACTTGCTTAGGAACCCTCAGGAAAAACAAATATATATATATATAATAATAATAATAATAATAATAATAATAATAATAATAATAATAATAATAATAATAATAATAATAATAATAATAATAATAATAATAATAATAATAATAACAATATTAATAATAATAACAACAATAATAATACTAGTGATAATCATAATACTATTATTACGATTATTATTATGATTACTATTATTATTATTATTATTATTATTATTATTATTATTATTATTATTATTATTATTATTATTATTATTATTATTATTATTATTATAAAGCACATTCTTCCCTGTGACGGCCATGTAGTAATCTACCTTTCATGTGCTGGGCGGCGTTCTGAAGCAAACAGTAGACAAGGAGAGCGCACCTTTGAGCCGCCTCAGAGGAGTCGCTTGTAGGCCCTGCTGTCCCAGGTGAAGTACTGCGCCACCGCCAAGGACAAGACGGGCTACGTGTTGGCAGAGACGAACCTGGAGGACAGCCGGGGCGACTCGCAGGGCGTAAAGGGCTTAGGAGTGTTCTTGCAAAGAAGAAGATGGGTTGGGATGTTCCCCCCCTTATAAAGCTAACTGTCCTTAATAGGGATTATAGTACCTCCTAGCATCATCTTGATTAAGGACTGTCAGTATTGGGCGGGAACATCCCAAAAGATGGACGTGGCAAAGACTTACTTGTTGCTTATATGCCATCATCCTTGGGCTGACTTATGAAGATGACAGGGTTCAGTAGACCATTTCGGCTGGGTGTGCGGATGGTAGTGCGTGTGTTTAGCTTTGAAAAGCTGCAAGGTCTGCTGTCGGAACATGTCCAGACAATCCTGGCAGCGAAGCGCAAAGCAACTGCAGTTTCTGGACCTCTGCTCTTGAAATTCTTGCAAGAGAGGGTTGCAAGCACAATCGAGGTTTACGGATTTAGGCTTTCTAGCCAACAACCTTAGCGCCACAAGAACCAAAACTGAACCTGCAAGGCCCTCAACCAGAAAGCCCTTCAACCCCGAGCCCCCAAAACCAAAAAGCCCTACAACACCTGACGCCAAACCTCGAAACCCAAACCCTAAAACCCCTCGGCACCCTCACTAAAACCCCCTACAAACCTAAACCCTAAAGCCTAAAACCCTAAACCCTAAAGCCTACACCCTAAACCCTAAACTCTAAAGCCTAAACCACCTCCCAGATGCTGGCCTTCGACGTCACCGCCGAGTGCGCTGACGGCTACTACGGCACAGCGGAGGTGAAGGTCGAGAGCTCGTAGGGTTTAGGGTTTCAGGGGTTTGCGGGTTTAGGGCTTTTAGGGGTTCCGGGCTTTCAAGGCTTTTGGGCTTGAGGGTTTTTCGGGGTTCAGAGCTTTCAGGGCTTTGGGGGTTTCAGGGTTCAAGGCTTTCAGGGCTTTAGGGGTTTTGGGGTTCAGGGTTTTCAGGGTCTTAGGCTTTCAGGGTTTTGGGGCTGTAGGGACCTTACAAGTTCAGGGGGTGAATGGCCTGGGTTTGGGTTAGAAGGATTTACCCCTTAGCTTGTGGACGGTTCAGGCATTGTTTAGGGTGACAGGGTTCGGGGTCTGGGTTCGACATTCTTCTTTCTGGTTGCTGTTAGGCAACGAGGATTCCATGGTTGATTCCGGCTCACGGCTGCTGAAAGTGGAGGAAGTCGAGAAGATGGAAAAGGTCGGCAGTTCTCTACAGTAGGGTCCGTTCTTAAGTTGGAGTCCCCTATACTGTGTGGCACCCTTTCACATTTGAAGGACCCCCAAAAAGCCAGCCTAACTTCGAGGAACTCCCCAGATTTGGGGGCTTTACGGTATTCGGGGTACCCATATTGGAGTCCTTAATTAGAAAGGGGTCCGACTATTTGCGGGTCTATAGAAGGGGGTCCCGGAGTCCCTTGTTATCGTAACCCTAAACCCTAAACCCTAAACCCTAAACCCTTAACCCTTAACCCTAAACCCTAAACCCTAAACCCTAAACCCTAAACCCTAAACCCTAAACCTCCAGAGGTTGTCCATAGCTCATTTTGCGAGGCGTGCGGCCACGCCG